GGCTGTGCAGGAGGGGCGGGGCGGGCTCGGCGGGTCGCTGCCCGGTGCCCGAGGGCCACTTCCCGGGCCACCTGGTGGACGTCAGCGGCACGGGGACCCTGTCGCAGAGCTACCAGTATGAGGTGTGTCTGATGGGAGGAACTGGGACGAATGAATTTAAATTTCTGAAGCCGATTATCCCTAATCTTCCAGTCCAAGACACCGGTAGGCATATAGGGGAACACGAGAACTTTAGAAATAGCTTTGGACTCAACCTTCAGTAAAATAATTTAAACTTCTGATATTTTGTTATTCTTGGCAAACTGTAGACCCCCCTTTTTTTGTAGGCCCCTTTTTGCCAATCTGTAATATAGTTCATGTTGGATGGTACTTGCATGTATTACCATTTCTCATGATCCCGTCGCAGTTGTTTTAAAAATCTTTAGTGGCTTTAAAAATTAGTGGCTATAATGTCATGGAAATATAGTTTTCTGATTTTTTTGTACGTTTGGTCTAAATGTCATAGTAATGGAGTTATTGCTAATTTTTTGTAATGGTGTGATTATTATTATTTGGAGGTGCAAATTATAAAGTATTAGGGAATGCCACTATATATGTAATTTACTTCTGGATATTTCATCAAAGCATAGATACATCAAAAATTAAAAGTTCTGTTGACTGGGTGGAAAGTATATTGGATCTTATTGCACTCTTACCTTTGAAATTTTTTATCATAAAGGGTAAAAGTGCTACCTGTCCATCTTCAGTAGTAGGGTACCTTATTTGTTTTGGTTATTGTTATATCGTGTTTTTCATGAATTCAATTTATGACAAAAGTGACCAAATTGAAAATTAGTGATTTCTTAAGTAATTTTTCTTTTTTCTCATTGTTGATGATGTTTTGAGGGGAGGAGTTCTGCTATTTTACATTGCTGCTTTGTTTTCTCTCAATATGCCACATTTGCCAGTTTAAATTTGTATTATTTTATAGTGTTCATTACATAGCTTGATTGTTTATGGTGTCATCTTAAGTAAAATACTCTTTTCCATTAGAGGAATATAGATTAAAAACTTCTTAATAATTAAGATGAAAATTCAGACTGTTAAAGAAATGAACTCAGTTCACTTTTCTCTTAATTTTTAAAAGTAAATATCAAAAATCCTTAATATTTGTGCTCTTTCTCAGATGTTCACAAAGGATGGGTCTATATTAATGGCTTATAGATGCCTCATGGTGTTCCAAATCATAATATCTCCAATCTATAAGTGTACAGTTCAGTGCAGATTTTGGTAACTAGAATGTAGTGTGGATAATAAAGCTACTGTGCATATACACTTCTGTGATTTCTCGTACAAAATTAAATATTATAGACTAGATGATGTAGTAAAATGCAATTTTGCTGACATTGTGAAATGGGTAAAACAAATTCCAATTTTCTTAGGAAATTTTTCTTTGCTTCATGAAGCTTTTACTGGTCTTATTTTGCATTGCAACAGATACTTACTAGTTGTGAGAATTTTATTAACTAGACATTTAAGCAGTACTGCTGCTGCTGCTAAGTCGCTTCAGTCGTGTCCGACTGTGTGTGACCCCACAGACGGCAGTCCACCAGGCTCCCCCATCCTTGAGATTCTCCAGGCAAGAACACTGGAGTTGTTTGCCATTTCCTTCTCCAATGCATGAAAGTGAAAAGTGGAAGTGAAGCCACTCAGTCGTGTCCGACTCTTAGCGACCCCATGGACCGCAGCCTACCAGGCTCCTCCATCCATGGGGTTTTCCAGGCAAGAGTACTGGAGTGGGGTGCCATTGCCTTCTCCGTAAGGCAGTACAGTCCTGAAAAAAAAATGTTTGGACCCTCTTTATCTCTCAGAGGCATAAGAAACAAATCTTATTTTTCTTATGCATAAGAGTAAGAATAGACAAGAACAAAATACTCTACTTGAATAATTCAGAAACAAGCTTGTACACTGCCAGATAGAATGAAATTCAAGATCAGATCCTTTTATATAGGAAAATTTAGTCATGATTGAAGAGGTGTCAAAATTACTGGGGGGAGGGAGAGACTGATTACTTTTCCAGTAAAATTGGCTGGAAAATTCATTATATAAAGAAAATATCTAAGTAAAAATATCTTTACAACCTTACTATTGGTTTCACTTTCTTAAACAAGGTTTTAAAAGCGCAAACAGGAGGTGGAAGGGAGGTTCAGGAGGAAAAATGTGTATACCTATGGCTGATTCATGCTGATGTATGGTAGAAACTCACACCATATTGTAAAGCAATTATCCTTCAATTAAAAAATAAGAAATTTTGAAAAGTGCAAACAATAAAGATAAAAACTGATAAATATTACTACCTTAAAACTAGAGGATAGCTCAGATAAACTAGCAGATGGGATGCAGGGAGAAGCTACTTGCAACATTTTAACTCAGAAGGATTAATATTTAGATTATTCAGATAACTCCTCAGATCAGCAAAAGTCAGAAAATCAAGGGAGCCAACGGATTGTTTTTTAAAGGACAGAAGAGAAAAGTAATTCAAAAGAGGGGAAAACAAAGTCTGAAAAGAACACGAAGTGACACACAACCTCATTAGTTGATGATATACATGATAAAATGATTTTACACCCATAGATGAGAAATTTGGGTAACATCATATGGAACCATAGATGTATATGCATAGAAAATTACATATACCCCCATTTTGAGGGAATTTCAATAGTATTTAATGAAATTTAGTATGTTGTAAATTTAGTTTTACTAAAAATATAAAAATATACACAGTTTATGATCTAGCATTTCTACTTTGGGGCACATAGCCAGAAAATTCTAACACAGCTTTACAAAGTGATGTGCATAAGAATGTTTATCTTGGGAAAGCAAAGAATAGGAGTCTGTCTACATATTCATCAGTAAAGCAATTGATAAATGTGAAACATATTTGTGAAGGAGCACTATGCGTTATTCAAAAGGAGTGAACTTCCTCTGCCTACAATCCTACAATCTGCAGGAAACCTGGGTTTGATTCCTGGGTCAGGAAGATCCTCTGGAGAAGGGAATGGCAACCCACTCCAATAAGCTTGCCTGAAGAATTCCATGGACAGAGGAGCCTGGTGAGCTATACTCTACCGGGTGACAAAGAGTCGGACATGACTGAGCAGCTAACAGTTCACTTCACTTTACTGTGCAGTGTTGAAAAGGAGTGAACTTGGTATACAATCACATGGATAAATTCCAAATGTTTTAAAAGGAAGAAAAAAGACTGAGATTTATAGTACAGTACCAATATATCCATATAATAATATCTTACACTTGTAAAAATATACAAATATATAAACATTGGAAGAAAGGAAGAAGGAACAGATGTAGGAAAGAAGTTGTTTACACTATGTAAAACACACCATAGGGTGTGGACAGAAGTATGAGCTATACCAATATCAATGACAAAAAAAGAAACTATTCAAAGACACTGCTTAAATTGATCGCAGCATCATAGTTGATTTAGTATTGATCAGATCAACTTGGTTAAAATATATATATTATTTATGTATCCTCTCAGTAAGATCAATTCCCCACACTCCATGAGAACAAAGTATTTGCTTCTCATTTTGAGACATAACAGTATCCTTGAGATTTTATATTTTTAGTAAGGGTGGTATAGATTATGTACACCAACACTCCTACTGGAAAAAACAGCTTAATAAAACACTAATACATTGTCAGGTCACAGTTAATGTTAAAAGGTAATTCAGAAAGATAAAACAACACCCAATCCATTTTTTTCCCTGGGATTTGGAATTCTGGGAAATGTGAACCTCTATTTTGATGGTGTATTATGGGGGAGAAAATCAAAGCCTAACATACTGAGAAGCTGATAGAAGACCTTCACTTCAAAAAGTCTGGATTCCTAAGAACTACCACCTTTATGATAATAAACTGGAAATTGATGAGCCCCTGTGTGCAATTTTAGCCTTGAACTTGATTTTTAACGTTGAACTTAATTTAAGGTGGTAGTTGACAAGTAGTCGTCCCAGATCTTGATAGAACCAAATGGAGACCTTCTATGAAAGAAGGTTTATTCATCTTATGCCTAGAATTATTTATATAATTTTTATGTTAACTTGAATATAAAGAAAACTGCATGCACAAAGAAATATGACACCATGAGTGAAACCCAGCAAAACACGAAACAAAAAATAAACAAACTTGCAAATGGGCTTCCCTGGTGGCTCAGACAGTAAAGAATCTGCCTGCAATGCAGGAGACCAGGGATCCCTAAAGGAGAAAATGGCTACCTACTCCAGTATTCTTGCCTGAAGAATTCCATGGACAGAGGAAGTGTGGTGGGCTATGGTGCATGGGGCCGCAAAGAGCTGAACACCTAACAGTTTCACTTTTCAAATTTGCAAACACTTCAGATGTTTCAATTATCAGACACACTCTATAATAAGCTAACAACTTCAACTGAAATAAAATATATACTTTAAAATGTACAGGGAACAAGAAACAATAAAATATGAAAGATTAGGAAAGAATCAAGTAGAACTCCTATAATTGAAAAATGTGATACAATTTTAAGCTGCATAAAAGGTTTAATAGAAAACTAAATGCAACAAAATAATTTGTGGAGCAAAAGATATGGCAGAAAATAACTTATCCGACATGCAACTCATAGGGTTAATAAGATAGAAAATATGGGGGAGATGGTTAGAAAAGGATAACAGAGTAAACAAGTTTAACATATTTATCCAGAATTCTAGGAGAGATGAGAAAGACTGGATCGGAGGCAATATTTGAAAAACTAATTACCGGGGGACTTCCCTGGCGGTCCAGTGGTTAAGAATCCACCTTGCAATGCAGGAGACATAGGTTGGATCCCTGATCTAAGAACTAGGATCCCACATGCTGCTAGAGGGAACTACTGAGGCCCCTGAGCCCTAGAGCTGGTGCTCCTCAACAGGAGAAGCCACCAAAATGGGACGTCCGAGCACCACAACTAGAGAGTAGCCCCTGCTTATTGCAATTAGAGAAAGCCTGCATGCAGCAATGAAGACCCTGGTGCAGCCAATAAATAAATCTAAAAAAAAATAGTGGCTGGGAATTCTTCAGATTCAAGAGACCCAAATAAGCCTAACAGGATAAACAAAAGATAACCATACCTGGAAACATCATTGTGAAATTTGAAAAAAGCAGAATTTTTTTTAAAGAAAAGTCATAGAAAAAAGACTTCATCTTTAAACACATGACAGGCTGAAAGCTATGTTCCATGTTGACAACTTCTCAACAGTAGCAATGGAAATTTTTAAAAAGTAAACTACCTTCAAAGTGCTAAAAGATATAGCAAACCTTCCTGCCTAAATAGTCTTTGCTTGTCATCAAATGAGGGAATCAAGTCAACTGGATGTCAGTTGATTTTAAATTAATCAAGATCATGGGAAAGAAGTGGGGTAAAGCTAGTTTTCAAATACAACTTCTTATAGTTTTCCTCTGTCTGTCCCTTACTACAGTCTTAAGTCCAGGAATTTGACTTACTGTCTAGCCTTCTTCATCTCTAGTGACATTCAATTCTTCCCTAGTCTAGCAGATCTATATAACCATGACCACTTCTAAAGAGAGTAGTCTTAAGAAAAAAAAAAGAGAGTAGTCTTTTAGAGCTGCATCTCTAAAATCATAAATTCAAACATACTTCTCTTAATTTACAACTTAAATTATTTCTCTAAGGGCTTCAGTCACCATTCAGATCAATAAGTCCCAAATTTTCTCTGCAGCCCAAACCTCCTTCCTCATTTTATATAATGTAAGATCATTTATGTAATAATTTATATGGATGCTCTATGGACACTTTAAACTCAACACGTTTTACATCAAAATTTTCCCTTCATCAAAACTAAGTGTTTTCTCTAGCTCTATACATATGACTTCTGGTCTTCCTGTGTTCACTCTATCAGTTAACAGAACTAAGAGTCACCCAGTTCCCTAAGCCTGAAAAAAAAGTACATTTACTTTTACTTGTTTTTATTCTACTCTGTTTAATCACCACATACTGCATATTTTATCTTTATTATCCTAATATAACTCTATAAGTGCATTTGTAGATGCACTTCTTAACTGTATTAATGCAATAACTTCTAATCTGTCCCTTGCCTTTAGTCTTACTCCTCTCTGATTTATCATCAATTCTGAAACAAGATCATCTTTTAAAAAATAAAACTGGGTCATGTCACTTTTCTATTTACAACCTTTCAATAATCTGACATTTCTATTTATGTAGAGTCCAAATACCTTGGCATGTGTTACAAAATTATTTGTTGATCTTTCTATGTGTTACAAAATTATTTGTTGATCTTTCTAATCTCACCATTTCTCTCTTCTTGCTCTATGACTCAGCCATACTGATCCTATTTCAGTTCTTCCAAAACACTTCTTTCATTTTGGATCTGTACAACCATGTTTTTAGTTTGTTGGAAACTTTAGCCCATGTCCAGTTTTTATTTGGATTACTCATACTCATTTTTCATGTATCAAACCAGAATTTACTTTTTCCAGAAAAGTCTTTCCTGTACTTCCAAATTCTGGTTAGGTGACCCTATGCTCTTATACAAGCATGAACTTTTGCTTATCATGGCATTCATTATGCTCTATTTTAAATGTGTGATCACTTTTCTGCCTCCATCTTTCAGGACGGAAACTATGTCTGTTTCCCATCCTACCCCTAACACTAATCACTGTGCCTAGCACAAAGTGTATGTTCAATAAATATTTGCCAAACAAATTAATGAATGGAGGAATAAAATATGTAGAATTATATCTCTGAAAGGCTTGGGTGTACAAAACAGAATTCAGTTCCACAACTAAACTGGGCTCCAGTTCGTTCAACTTTAAAAATGTTGACAGAAACTGGACATATCTTACATTATTCAATACTGATGAGCATTTACTTTCTACTGCTGCCAGGAAGGTCACTTACGGAGTATTCCTAAATAAACAGTACCTTTTACCCAGCCAGTATTGTCCAGCCTCCCCTGAAAAACTGTTTTCATATACCAGGTTCAGTTTCCAGTGCATGCCTTTATCCTTATCATTTTTTTGAAGTGTATTTGCTGATACCTAGAGAAGACTAAGATCTCTGGTCCCATTTCCAATTTTCCTCAGAAACTCTTGCTCACTAAGTCAATTACATAAAAGAGTCCTCTTAACTATTTTTAGTTGTTTTATATATTGTCTTCAGAGGGAGCATAAATTATCTAAGCTTGGGATGATATCTTAAATACACTTTTTATATCCACTACAGCTCTAGAGATGGTAGTCTATTATGTTAAAGACGTAAAAGTAACAGCATCACATAGGACAAAGAAAAAACTCAGAAAAGAAATATAGGTGAAATATAAGAATACAGGAGAAAATACCTTGTGCACCATCAACAAACACAGGATAAATTAATATTTTGTCTCAAACCTACTTAACTATATTTAAAACCTGAGAATCTGCAGAGTCGCGTGGTGGCGCTGCAGGATAACATTGGGAAATATTTGTACCATTAGACGCTCTGGTTTCCGTGAACCTTTGGAACTGGGAGTGCCGGAGAATCAGTGGTGATTAAAAGAGGCTTTCAAGAGAAAGCTAGGGAGCCAAAAACTCCTTTGCCACAGAACTGCAAGTCTACAGGCTCCCAAAGGTTCATGCTGATAAGAGAAGCTGTTTGAGAGTGCATTGAAATATTTCCGCAGAAAGGCATTTGACTAGGGAGCCATGGAGCTAGGAAAAGGAAACCCTCAGCAGATAAGGCAAGTGCTGCTTTTCTTTGTTTTCCTGGGAGGGTCTTTGGTGTGTTCAGAGACCTGGCGCTATTCTGTAGCAGAGGAAACGGAGATCGGCTCCTTTATAGGCAACGTGGTGAAAGACATAGGTTTGGGTGTGGAAGACCTGTCTGCACGGGGGGCCAGAGTCATCTTTGACGATTATAAACCACACTTGCGGCTGGATCTGCAGACTGGCAACTTGCTCTTAAATGAGCAACCGGACCGGGAGGCACTTTGCGATCTTACCGAGCCGTGTATATTGCATTTCCAGGTATTACTTGAAAATCCTTTGCAATTTTTTCGAGCTGAGTTTTGGGTTGAAGACATAAATGATCACACTCCCACGTTCACAGACAAACATATATTTCTGAAAATCTCAGAAAGCACTGCTCCAGGAACCTCGTTCCAAATGGATAGCGCTCAGGACTTGGACGTAGGAAAGAATGGTGTCCAAAACTACACGTTAAATCCCAATCCTCATTTCCACCTTAAACTGCAAGACAGTGAGGAGGGTACAAAATACCCAGAGCTGTTACTGGACCAACCTCTGGATCGAGAAAAGGAGCCTGAGCTTAGATTAACGCTAACAGCCCTGGATGGCGGGTCTCCACCGAGGTCTGGAACTGCACTGGTGCGTGTGTTGGTCTTAGATATCAATGACAATGCCCCACAGTTTGAGAGATCCGTCTATGAGGTTCCGATACCAGAAAACAGCCCTCTGGACTTCTTGGTCGTCAAGGTATCTGCTACAGATTTAGATGCAGGAATAAATGGAGAACTATCTTACTCATTTTCCCACGTTTCCAGAGACATACAGAAGACATTTGAAATCCATCCAATTTCTGGTGAAGTCCGTTAAAGGCGTTTCTGGATTTTGAATTAGTTCAGTCTTACACAATAAATATTCAGGCCATTGACGGTGGGAGCCTTTCAGGAAAATCAGTAATTTTAGTTAGTGTTGTAGATGTGAATGACAACCCACCAGAAGTAGTCGTAACATCTCTTATCAGCCCCATACCAGAAAATTCATCGCCTGAAATGGTGGTCGCGGTTTTTAGCCTCCGAGACCCAGACTCTGGCGACAACGGGAGGATGGTTTGCTCAATTCAGGACAACCTTCCGTTTCTCTTGAAGCCTAATTTCAAAAACTTCTACACCTTGGAAACAGAGAGCCCACTGGACAGAGAGAGCAAAGCTGAGTACAACATCACCATCACCGTCACTGACATGGGAACCCCCAGACTGAAAACCGAGCACAACATAACCGTGCTGGTGTCCGACGTCAACGACAACGCCCCCGCCTTCACCCAGACCTCCTACACCCTGTGGGTCCGCGAGAACAACAGCCCCGCCCTGCACATCGGCAGCGTCAGCGCCACAGACACAGACGCGGGCGCCAACGCCCAGGTCACCTACTCGCTGCTGCCGCCGCCCGACCCACACGTAGCCCTCGCCTCCCTCGTGTCCATCAACCCCGACAACGGCCACCTCTTCGCCCTCACGTCCCTGGACTACGAGGCCCTGCGGGCCTTCGAGTTCCGCGTGGGCGCCGCCGACCGCGGCTCGCCCGCGCTCAGCAGCCAGGCGCTGGTGCGCGTGCTCGTGGAGGACGCCAACGACAACGCGCCCTTCGTGCTCTACCCGCTGCAGAACGCCTCGGCGCCCTGCACCGAGCTGGTGCCCAGGGCGGCCGAGCCCGGCTACCTGGTGACCAAGGTGGTGGCGGTGGACGGCGACGCGGGCCAGAACGCCTGGCTGTCGTACCAGCTGCTCAAGGCCACGGAGCCCGGGCTGTTCGGCGTGTGGGCGCACAACGGCGAGGTGCGCACGGCGCGGCTGCTGAGCGAGCGCGACGCGCCCAAGCAGCGGCTGGTGGTGCTGGTCAAGGACAACGGCGAGCCGCCGCTGTCGGCCAGCGTCACGCTGCACGTGCTGCTGGTGGACGGCTTCTCGCAGCCCTACCTGCCGCCCCCGGAAGCGGAAGCGGCGGCCGCGGCGCCGGCCGACCCGCTCACCGTCTACCTGGTGGTGGCCTTGGCGTCGGTGTCGTCGCTCTTCCTCTTCTCGGTGCTGGTGTTCGTGGCGGTGCGGCTGTGCAGGAGGGGCGGGGCGGGCTCGGCGGGTCGCTGCCGGGTGCCCGAGGGCCACTTCCCGGGCCACCTGGTGGACGTCAGCGGCACGGGGACCCTGTCGCAGAGCTACCAGTATGAGGTGTGTCTGACGGGAGGAACTGGGACCAGAGAGTTCAAGGTTCTGAAGTCTGTTGCCTCCAATCATCGGGGGTCCGTGATTAATGTAGAAGAAAACTCAGACTTTCTAAATGGTTTTGGATTCAATTAGGAATTTATCAGTTTATTGGAGTTGAAAGTTTTCTCAAAATATACTGTTCCCATTAGCTTTTAGATCCATATAGAATTTTTTTTTCTGATTTCATTTTCCTAGTTAAGAAGGTTAGCAATTTTTCTTAATGTATAGTCATATGTATGCTCTTTATTCTATTTTGATGGAAAGATCTTTCAACTTCATTACTGGAAAGTCACAAACATTTGTTCAATTTTTCAACTTTTTGTCATCAAACACTATTGATTTGAAGATGACCCCAGACGCATTCTGTTTGTTGTTCAAATACTGCTTCCTAAAAAAAAAAAAAAAAACTGCTTCCTAATTTTTTGATACTGTGGTTATGTAGGAGATGGGCATCATAAAATATAATGAATTATTAGTATATCTTCTATTGAATCATATTATGCCTACCTGTCTTAAATTTTTAAATGGAGAAATGTCTGCAAAATGCATGTTTTTGTTTCACAATTGTATTAAATGGAAGAGACTACAATTTCTCCTATACTTAGACTTTTGCTCTCTTTACATCAACCTTCTGTATATAACATGTTACTGAAATACTAGATTATTTAAAAATATTTAAATAATAGGTCCCTTTTGTGTCTATCTATCCCACCCTACCTTTTTCAGAAAACAACTCTCTTCAGCCATAAACATGCAGCCATGTTTATTTTATATGACTTATCTCCCTCTGTGATTTCAGATAATCAGACAAGGTGGTAGACATCGCTGATACAAGCTTGACCAATCTCATTTTCTCTGCTTTAAAAAATGGCTTTATAAACTAATATAAAATAGCCCATTAGATACCTAACAAGAAAATTATATCATGATGGCTAAATACATTAAAAAAGCACCAAAAGTCAATCTACTTAGATAAGAAGGAAGGAGATGCCTAAAGAGTAACCTTTTTGTGGATTTTTCTGATCTCTTTCAAGTAAGATTTCTCTATTGAGTTTTTGGAAACAAATATGCAATATTTTAATAAATTTCCCTCTAAATAACATAGCCAAATTGTTTTTCCCCTTGTAAAAAGCACTTTTAAGTAGTCTTGCATGGATTGGACCTTACTATTGGTTTGAGATGTTAAAAATAGTGTTTTTCATATTAATGTACTATTTAGGATCAAAGATTGTGGAATATTAGTAGTCTCTGAGGATCTATAAAGAATTGATGGATATTTCCAAACTGAATGGTCTTTGGAGTGTTTAACAGAAGTTAGAAATTCCTAGAAAAACACTTTCTTACCTAGTAGAATAACAGGTCCCACAGTAGAATTTTCTGCAACCCTATGGACTATAGCCCGCCAGGTTCCTCTGTCCATGGGATTCTCCATGCAAGAACACTGGAGTGGGTTGCCATGCCCTTCTCCAAGGGATCTTCCCAATCCAGGGATTGAACCTGCATCTCTTCTGTCTCTTGTATTGGCAAGCAGGTTCTTTACCACTATTGCTACCTGGGAAGAAGCCCATTATGACATTAATGATATTAAAAAACACTGACAATGTAAAATGTGTTCTTAAAAGATGTACAACTTATTTGTAGATTCACTAGAGCTTTGTTATTATGTTCTTTATTATAATATATTCCTTTGCTTATAGGAACCAGGGCATTTTTGCCATTTAATAAAAAAACATTTTATGCCATTCTGAATTATTTCAAATTTCTATTCATAAGAGCATAGGAAAAAAAAACATTTGAGAACATGCTGCCTTGTTTATCCAGCTCATATAATGAAGTAGGATATCAACAAAACTGGCGACTTCTATATTAGGAGGAGAATCCATCCACCAGAATTTTAAAATTAATTGTGACTTATTCGTTGATCTAGTCAACAAATACTTGTTGAGTATCTACAGGAATGCTCTGCCAGGAACTGTTCTCTATGTTAGTGGGTGTAAAGGTGAACAAAACAAAGTTCTCAAACTCAATGATGACACAAAAAAGAAACAAATATGTAAATATGTACATACATGCTTTATAAGACAATGATCAATGCTAGGGAAAAAGAGAAGGATAAGAGAGATGGGAAGTGCCCTCATATGCATTTTTGCATAGTTTGAAAGTTTCATAAAATCTTAATTTTCTGACCTTATGTATAATAGGTATTATAAACTGGACTTAAATGGTAGCTTTTTCCTTTATGTGATTCAAACAATGGAAACCACAATTCTGGCACATAGGGTACATATAATTTAAAAGCATATGTAGAGGAATTCCTTCTGTTTCGTGGAGAGACTTTTAGTAAATCATATGGGCTTGTATTGTTATTTTTACAAGATGAAGATGACTGATCATCACTAAGTGTCCTTTCACTTCTAAGTTCTCCTCAAAGCACCTCACCTAGACAGCAGGTTCTAGAAGGTAGGGACAATGTCTGGATTGTTTATTGATGTATTTCAGAACCTAGTATATAGATATCAATCATACTTCCTTGAATGATGTATGAATAATTATGATTCCCTGATATTTTTCTGATTATATAATCTTCCCCAAAACATTTTCAAGCTTCTAATAGCCTTTTAGATTATTATAAAGAGGGAATACAATTGTAGCAATTATTTTCGAAGACAACGCATGGTGGCGCTGCAGGCTAAGGCGTCCAAAAACTATGCCCAGGAAATGCTCCCAATTTTACATCAGATCTCCAGCGCAAGCGAAAAGACTGTAATGTAAGCAAAGCTCACAACAAGTCTCCAGAAAATGCTACTCACCAACATTTCCGGAGAGGTTAGCAACTGGGAGAACCATCACATTCTCAGTCTCATCGCTCCCTAAAATAGAGCTGACCCTTGATCCTGGAAAGGCGTTTGTGGAAGTAAAGATGGAGGTTAGAGGGGAGCGTTTTCATCAACAAAGGCAAGTCCTGATCCTTTTTCTTTTGCTGGGAGTGACTTTTGCAGGCTGGGAATCCCGTCGCTATTCCGTGATGGAGGAAATAGAGACCGGCTCGTTTGTGGCCAACCTTGTCAAGGACTTGGGGCTCGGAGTGGGGGAGCTAGCTGCGCGGGAAGCCCGGGTGATCTCTGAGGATAACGAACCCCGGTTGCAGCTCGATCTGCAGACCGGGAAGTTGACATTAAATGAGAAACTAGACCGGGAGGAGATGTGCGGCGCTACAGATCCATGTGTAATGCATTTTCAAGTGTTACTGAAAAAACCATTGCGAGTATTTCAAGCTGAGCTACTGGTGAGAGACATAAACGATCATGCTCCTGAGTTTCCTGAAAGAGAAATGACTTTGAAAATCCCAGAGAACAGCCCTCCTGGGTCAGTGTTTCCTCTGAAAAATGCTCAGGATTTGGACGTGGGCAACAACAACATCCAAAACTACAGTATCAGTCCCAATTCTTATTTTCATGTTTCCACCCGCAACCGGGGGGATGGTAGAAAATACCCAGAGCTGGTGCTGGACAAAGAGCTTGATCGGGAGAAGCAGGCCTTGCTCAGATTAACCCTCACAGCGCTAGATGGCGGCTCTCCGCCTCGATCTGGTACCACCCAGGTCAGAATCTTGATCTTGGATATCAATGACAACGCCCCTGAGTTTGCGCAGGCCCATTACCAGGTGCAGGTCCCAGAGAACAGTCCCGTAGGCGCCCTAGTTGTCAAAGTTTCTGCTAGAGATTTAGACAGTGGGACAAATGGAGAGGTATCATATTCCCTGTTTTATAGTTCTCAGGAGATGAGCCCAACTTTTGAGCTAAACAGCCTTTCGGGAGAAGTTCGACTAATTAAAAAACTCGATTTTGAGACAGTATCCTCATATGATCTGGATATAGATGCGTTTGATGGCGGGGGACTTTCTGGAAAATGCTCTGTCTTCATTGAGGTGGTGGATATTAACGATAACGCCCCAGAACTAACTATTTCATCACTTACCAGCCCCATTCCTGAAAACTCCCCCGAGACAGAAGTGGCCCTGTTTAGGATTAGAGACCGAGACTCAGGGGACAACGGAAAGATGACTTGCTCCATCCAGGATGATCTCCCCTTTATTCTGAAACCATCTGAAGAGAATTTCTACACGCTGGTAACAAATGGGGCGCTAGACAGAGAAAGCAAAGCTGAGTATAATATCACCATTACTGTCACCGACTTGGGGACACCGAGGCTGAAAACCGAGCACAACATAACCGTGCTGGTGTCCGACGTCAACGACAACGCCCCCGCCTTCACCCAGACCTCCTACACCCTGTGGGTCCGCGAGAACAACAGCCCCGCCCTGCACATCGGCAGCGTCAGCGCCACAGACACAGACGCGGGCGCCAACGCCCAGGTCACCTACTCGCTGCTGCCGTCGCCCGACTCACACTTGCCCCTCGCCTCCCTCTTGTCCATTAACCCCGACAACGGCCACCTCTTCGTCCTCACGTCCCTGGACTACGAGGCCCTGCGGGCCTTCGAGTTCCGCGTGGGCGCCGCCGACCGCGGCTCGCCCGCGCTCAGCAGCCAGGCGCTGGTGCGCGTGCTCGTGGAGGACGCCAACGACAACGCGCCCTTCGTGCTCTACCCGCTGCAGAACGCCTCGGCGCCCTGCACCGAGCTGGTGCCCAGGGCGGCCGAGCCCGGCTACCTGGTGACCAAGGTGGTGGCGGTGGACGGCGACGCGGGCCAGAACGCCTGGCTGTCGTACCAGCTGCTCAAGGCCACGGAGCCCGGGCTGTTCGGCGTGTGGGCGCACAACGGCGAGGTGCGCACGGCGCGGCGGCTGAGCGAGCGCGACGCGCCCAAGCAGCGGCTGGTGGTGCTGGTCAAGGACAACGGCGAGCCGCCGCTGTCGGCCAGCGTCACGCTGCACGTGCTGCTGGTGGACGGCTTCTCGCAGCCCTACCTGCCGCCCCCGGAAGCGGAAGCGGCGGCCGCGGCGCCGGCCGACCCGCTCACCGTCTACCTGGTGGTGGCCTTGGCATCGGTGTCGTCGCTCTTCGTCTTCTCGGTGCTGGTGTTCGTGGCGGTGCGGCTGTGCAGGAGGGGCGGGGCGGGCTCGGCGGGTCGCTGCCCGGTGTCCGAGGGCCACTTCCCGGGCCACCTGGTGGACGTCAGCGGCACGGGGACCCTGTCGCAGAGCTACCAGTACGAGGTGTGTCTGACGGGAGGAACTGGGACCGGCGAGTTCAAATTCTTGAAGCCTGTCTTACCCAGTAGTCTAGAATCAAACTTTGAAAGGAAATCAGAAGGAAGTCCAACCTTCCAGAATCGTTTAGGCATCTGAAACTTCTCCAACTGCGTACATTAGTTTTATCTCTTACACCTTTCCCTTTTTTAACCTGGTAGTAATAATTCTACTCGTCTTTCTTTTCAAAGTTTTTCATAGTAATGCTAATCTTCGTTTTGTTGGCCTGTTTGCCCTATAATTAGTTTTCCAATTACTGTCAGTAAAATTTTATATCAGGAAAGTTCGTACTACTGGTTAAATTTTTAGTATTTCTAAATGATAATATGAAAGCCTCTCAGAATAAAAGTAATTCTAACTTTTAAAAGTTCTTTTCTCACTGTATATAACACGATGTAAAAATGTCTGACTCATTTATCATATTTCATTTTTTTATTACTGGAAGCTTTTTAAGTTTTTGTTATTTACACAGCTATGACTTTTCTATAACGCCTCTTCTGTTTGGAATGGAATCAGTTTATATTTGTGTGCTGTACTAAGTCGCTTCAGTCGTCCCACTCTTTGAGACCCTATGGACTATACCTGCTAGGTTCTTCTGTTACTTATGTTCAATTTTTTCCAAGCTCTGTTTGGATTTTTGTTTTATCAGTAGATAGCAACATGTATAATTTCCTATTTATTTCAAAATCACTCTTGTAATCATTGGACTTTCACTTTAAAATACATGCTATCTCATGAAAGTATATCTTTTTCATCTATTCTTTCTGTTCTAATTTAATGTTGAAGACTTATAAGTTCTTCCTTATATCTACCTGAAGTTATGATCCTGTTAAGAGTTTAATGATACCCACAATGACTAATGAGTTCTCTTTTTTTAAAATATTTTTAATTAGAGGATAATTATAATATTGTGTTGATTTCTGCCATACATCAACATGACTCACCGGTAGGTATACATATGTACCCTCCATCATGAAGCTCCTTTCTACCTCCCACCCCCTAGGTTGTCACAGAGCACCGGATTTGGGTTCCCTGCCATCATACAGCAAATTTCCACTGGCTATCTGTTTAACATATGGTAATATATATGTTTCAATGCTACTCTCTCAAATCATGCCACCCTCTTCTTCCCCCACTGTGTCCAAAAGTCTGTTCTTTATGTCTGCATCTCCTTTGCTGTCCTGCCAATAAGTTTATCAATACCATCTTTCCAGATTCTATTTATGTGTGTTAATATGT